GTGTGTGTGTGTGTGTGTGTGTGCGATCTCGTCATGTCCCGAGGCGAACAGGGAAGTGGTGTTAAACACTGACCTTTGACCTCTGCAGGTCAGAATCAGGTCGGGTCACTGTTCAGGAGAGCTCCATGTGAAGTGTGATGAAGATGAAGATGATGAAGAATATCATAAACTGCCTCCTCCGTGTTAGTGGATGGGACGTGGACCTAACTGTTTGTGTCATTGTAGGTTTATTTCTAACGATGATTGACAAGTGAGACTGACTCGAGCGAGTGCATCAGCAGGACCTCGACAATCACCAGCGATATCCAGGATATTTAGGGAGGAAATCTGTGGTTTGATCATTGTGGCGTGAAGATGCTGATTCCTCTGTTTGCAGACACGATCAGTTTCCACATGACACCAGACGATAATGCGGTCTGTAAATTAGGGTTGGATTTAATTTGAGATTTTTCTCCAGAATCAGGACGAGAGTTTTCGGTGCTGCCAGCGAGAAGATTAAATATACATTCATTTGAGAAACGCTGCGGGCCGAGACAGAAAGAAAGAAAAATCAAGATTTAAAGAGAGACAGGTGGCCGAGCAAAGAGGTAACGTAAAAGATGGAAGAAGAAGGAAACAGAGGGGACAAAAAGAAGATATCGGCGGATGCCGTGACAGCTTAAGGGGAGGAAGCAGGGAGAGGAGAAAAGATGGACAGAGGAAAAGAGGAGGAAATAGGGAGAGGGAGGGAGCGGAGAAAGGAGAGAGAGACAGAACAAAGGAGGCAGTGTGTGGTGAACAGGGGATTGAGTCGCCATCTGAGACGAATAAAAACTGGAATAACAATAAAAGTCCGAGAGAGCTACCACTCCACACACACACACACATACATCCACAACCAACCACACCCCATCTACACTGAACCGCACGTGCACACACAAACGCATCATCACTTTTTCTACTGTGAAGTGATTTGGACAAATCCCTGCAAAGACACACACAAGAACGGACGCACCACACCGAGCCAGATAATCAAAGACATGTGGGAGAGCAGCAGCAGCACGCAGACCAACACACACGAGAGAGTTAAGTGTGCGCATTTTAAGAATGTGTGTTTACAATTGTGTGGGAACGTGTGTGCACAGTATCAGTGTGTTACGATGTCAGAAGGAGAAAATGAGCAGGTGAGAGAGAGACAGGAAGTGAGAGAGCGAGAGAACAGGAATAAGGTGATGATGAAAAGCTGACAGGGGAGTGTTGTCGTGTTTCTCAAGTATTTTCCCATAACACCCGTCACCTCGTCACTGCCCACAACTCGAGTCTGTTCTTTTTATTTCCTGTTGTATATAACGTCCACAATGAGTTCGAATAACTCATCAAATAACATCGGGATAAAAAGAGT